TGACATATTTTTCCATATATGTATCTCTTTTTTCTTTTAAATCAGTCTTCTTGTATGGACCTGCCAGCGGAACTGCGTCAGCTGGCAGATTTCCAGAAGTTAAGGAGAGAGAAAGCAGTAAAAGAATACAGGGTAAATGAAGAGGGTCTTCTTATTAGGCCAACACTGGAATTTAAAGGAAAAAAGGCTGTGGAGAAGAAAGCAAACCATGGAGAGGATAATAGCCACATTCTTCCTAGTGAAACATTTCAGAAGTCATCCTTTCACATGAAGGACCCACCCTGTCAAGAGACCTACAATGAGGAAGCACAAGAACAAAATTTCTGGGAGAATGATCAGTCTAGACTTAACTGTAAAATTCCATCCTTGGAAGTGGGAGCAGAAGCAAGAGACTTGGTGAACTCTGCATCGGGGGACTTCCAAGGGATGCAGAAGGGACAGTCTTCCAGGCAGGAACTTCAAACACCAGCTACTCAGTCTTTACAAAGGGACATGAATCTTTTGTTGATGGAAGACGATGAGGAGGGCCTTTCATGTAGAAAGCAAACTACTATCTCTGCCTCCATTTTTCCAAAAATGAGCAGTTCTCTACAAAATTCTCACATTTTAGAACTACCCCCACCTTCTGTGTTGCCCCCTTGTCCAGCACTGAAGACAGCTGTTGTGCAGCAGAACTCTTTGAAGATGAGCAACAGCTGCACCCCCCGTTTCCAAGTAAGACTGGGGAGGGAAGGGTTTTCGGCATTACGCTTTGCCTTCCCCTCAACTCTCGGTTACCGGATGCCAGCACCAAGCCCTTTGGACAAGTAGCAGATCAGTTTTTTTCAAAAGAAAAAGTCATTGTCTCTCACTGGCCTGTAACACAAGCATTTTCAGCAAACTTTTTGTATTGGGGAAAAAGGATTTTGCTTCTTAGTTCTTCACTTGTTGAAATGGCTTGTAGAAACTATCCCCTTTTCCAAATACAAATGTAATTGAGATGACAACGGGCTTGCTGGCAGAAATAAAAAATGTAACTTGGCAAACCCTCCTAGGCTTGGTCTCCCCTTGGGGTTTGGACAGATAAACCTTACCATGAGGTAAACTAGGGTGAGGCAGCAATTCCACAGTAACTACCCTTGTGCATGCTCTTATCCTCCATTACAGGAAAGCTAACTTGTAGTGGCTTAGCCCTCAGTAAGACAAGTAAACTACTGGGGGTAGGATTTCATTTACTGTGTGGTAAGAACCTGCATGCAGTTACCATGGAGCGTCTGGCATGCTGGTAGGTCCTGCCATTATTTCCTCATGGTAACCTGTTGCTGTGTCTGTCGTTAAAAGTTCAGCCAGCATGGCTATCTATCTCAGTTGGAAGGGTGGAAAAATATCACAGCCCTAGTTCGCATAGCTATGCTGGCAAAAGTTCCAGAGTAGGCAGTTATACTAGATAAAAGATTTTTTTTTATACCAGTGTAGCTGAGTTAGTGTAGGAAACTGGTTGTAAGATGCATTGGCAAAAGAACTTTTGCTGGTATAATCTCCATCTCCATTAGGAGGGTTTGCCAGTAGCACTATTCCAGCAAACCGTTTTTACTGTAAATGCAGCCTGTACTGAAAAAAGCACTTCTACTGGTATAGTATCTACCAGTTCCCTGAACAAAATACATTGTATTGCCAAGAGCAGCTTTACCCTCACCATAATAACTGTCATACTAGGGCAGCAGCAGCATGACACAAAAAATCACGCCTGACAAAACTACACTACTGTATTGGTAGAAGTTTCTAGTGAGGGTCTCACCTGCATATAGATACAGACACTTCCATTTCCATACACCGTTGAGGATTGTTTAATCTGGGCAAAGTTAAGACAATTGAAGCTTACATACGTTTAAATACTGTATGATGCACTTCGGATGTTTTGGAAGAGAAATGCACCTCACTGGGGTGTAATGTTGAGGGAGGGGAGAAAGGTAACATTGTGAAGTTTATGGGTTGTAATAGTGTTGGAATGGGGAGAATCTGTGGCCCATCTCAAGTGCACTGCAATCTAAGTACTAGGGCCACAAAATTTTAGACTTAAACTGGTGGCAGAAAAATGCCTTCACGTTTCGTATAAAACTTAGGATTTACACTTTGGATCACATTTAAATGTTTGTTTGCTCCATGTTGACTTGGACAAAAACTGTTGAGCCCTTGTCTTCCCAGAATTGCTAGGGAAAACGTTAATATTTACGTTCACAGAATTGCTAGTTAAATCTTTGTTTAAAAAAATAGTAGCAGTACCCAAACTGTGGTTTCTTTTTGGACCTCCTTTAAGTGAAATTTAGGGGGAGAGGAAGATGTTTCAGTTAATGACCATGCTGGGGAGGCAACTATTCCTGTGTAAGCTATCCCTGAGGCAGCTCTTCAAGCCTAAAATGACACAAGGTACTTGCATGTTCTCTTTGAAATAGTGTTATATGCTAAAGAAAATAAATGCACATTGCTCTATTATAAAAGTTTGAAACAAGCTTCTGATGCCTTTTAGTATTTTTTGTTTGGCTTTTGATTTTAAATTGTGGTAGGATCTGTGGTCTCTTTAGGAGGCTGGTTTTGGAAATTTGCCTCTGCTGTGGCTCATGCCACTCTAGAGCAGTGGTTCTCAATCTTTTTTGTACCAGGACACATTTGTAAACATTGGCCAGTCCTGACCCAGTGCCCCTCACTCTCGACCCAGTGTGAAAGGCAGGGAGTGGGGGTTGGGCTATGGGGGGGGGCCCAAAGCATCCCCTCGCAGGCGTAACTTCTACCAGCCTGCAAGCGATCAGCCACAGTTTCCCATGTTGTTCTCCTTTAAAGGAAAATCCACTTGTTTGCAATCCTTTCATATATTTTTGTGACCCGCAGGTTGAGAAATGCTTCTCTAAAGCATGTGTGACAAATGGCATGGGCAGCCTGTGTGTGTGTGGCACATGGCAGATCAGGGAGGGTACAAGCAGCACAGCGACAGAGGGCAGGAAGCAGAGCAGATAAAGCAGGTATTAGAGTAGGGAACAGAAAGAGTAGTAGATAGAACAAAAGGGGAATCACAGTAGTACTTGGAGGTGTGCAGGGCTAATTTGTGGCACGCTTGCTGAAAAGTTGGCCCTCACTGGTCTAGAGCAGGGGCCACAGATGGACCTGACACTGCTCATCCGGCCTGTGGGACAAAAATGTTGAGCATCACTGGTTTAAACCACCCTTTAGCTCCATGGGGCACATCCAGATGAACCCACATGTGCTTCTTGCAGCATCTCAAACTCCCTTGAGACTTTGCAAGAGGCATGTGGAGGAATGAAAAAATGTTTCCTGCACTGCGAATTTTTTATATCCAGGGGTCAAAAATCTCCACAGAGGGAAAAAAAGCAGGGCAGGGCATGGACCGTGCCCTGAGGCAACCGGAGGCTGGGTCCTCCACAGAAATGCTCTGGATGCCAGAGTGTCTCTATGGCTAGCCCTCACCCTGCTGCCAAAGGGGTTGTTTTCCTGCCCATGCAGGGCAGGCAGCATGCCAGCAGGAAGCTGGGCCCAGGCTCCAGTGCCAGTAAGGTAGGGGCTGGAGTAGGGGAGAGGGGACCATAGGGGGGACCCCTGCTGGCCCCACCTGCTCCTCCAGACCCCTGCTCCCTGCCCTGCCTGGCTCCATCCCCTGCCTGCCCTCCAAGCC